CAAGATTTTGAGCCCTGGAAGTCGATAAACTCTTAGGACGTTCGGCAGGTTAGCGTGTTAGAGCCGGTGACAAAAACGGTGACAAGTTCGGCAGGTTGTCGTGTCAGGGTGACAAGCTCGACAGGCCAGACAACACAGCCTCCGGGTCGTGCCCAGCCATAAGCCAGCATGGGTGCGCATAGCCGACCCAGCATCCGAGCACGCTTGTCCGCGGCAAGCAAAGCTAACATTGAGTGGCTCCTTCAATGTTTTCAGGCCGATTTGCGCAGCAAGCCGATCTTGGCATGCAAGGCAGCCGCAGATGCTTGTGCCGAGGGCACCACAGTCGGCATAGGTGGCTGATTTATCTCCAGCCGCTCCGTCTCCTGGTTTGCAGAAACGTAGGACTTCCAAGAAAGGAGGCTCAGCGCTACATAGCGTGCTTTGAAACCCTGGCCCAACCGGCGCTAATGCGCATCGCTTGGACAGCCGAGGGACAGGCAGTGCACGGCTTACGCATCCCTTCCAGCACGAATAATACCGCATCAGAAGCCGGGGTGAACAAACTGTTCACCACAGCATGGCCCTTGCAGATCTTTGTGCAATTAGTCGCCGCATGGGCAGACAAGCACAAATGGTCAGTGCTAGCCTCGCATATCCCAGGCGAGCGCAACGTGTGGGCCGATCAGCTCAGCCGCGGCAACACATCCGCATTCGACAGCAAGCCGCAAGCTCGCTTTCGTTTTCGCCCGCATGATTTCTGGCCCCGCCACTGCAGGCTATCGCTGCACCCGCCCGACGCCCCATGGCGGCCGGAGCATAAGAGTGCTTCGCAAACGCTCTGAAGAGGGGGCGATAGATTAGGCCGTTTGCTTGGAACCCTGAAGTGGGGGCATATGAGGAGGCTCCGCAGAGGGGTGCAGATACGGGGAAAGGACACGCGATGTCTTTCCCCCTGCACCCCTGAGCTTCAACTTCAAGCAACACCTTGTAAAGAGAAAGAGCGTGCGCGCATGTTTGTCGGTCGCACCCTTTTATCTTGGACTGCATGTTCCCTTTCGGATTGAAGCAGTGATCAAGAGGGTTCTATTTTCCCTTATGTTTTAATCTTGATCGAATCTTCGGACGCGTTGCCGTTTTCTGCTTCAAGCCACCTAAGGGACTTGCGTGAGGGTTACCCCTCACTTTTTTGCGCCCACCCTCCCACCCTGTCTACTCAGCTGAACTTCCCTGGGCCCAGCCGCAGCTGGTGCCCCAGAGGTACGGTGCATACCATGACCCGTCTGCAGAGGTCACAAATTCAATTTAGCACCGTGAGCCGCATTTCGCACCAGCGATGGCATGCAATATTTCCGCCAGGGCCCGGCCGCAAGCCGCCGCCCAAAAGGCCTCAGCCTGGCACCCATTGCACATAAGCCGGACGCACGCATTGCATCCAGCAGCCATATGACAGTTTCGATATGTCTCAACCTGGCACCGTGCGCCGCATTGCACACCAGCCGGATGCACGCATTGCATCCTGCCGCCATCAATGCCTTCGATTGTTTCACACCTGGTCGAACACGCATTGTTGACCACGGGGGCATATGAGGAGGAGGCTCCGCAGAGGGGTGCAGATACGGGGAAGGGACACGCGGTGTCTTTCCCCCTGCACCTCTGAGCCTCAACTTCCAAGCAACGCCTTATAAAGAAACTAGACCACGGTTGGCCCGAAAGCATAACATCGCAAGCGAGGTCGGCCAAACGCTGGAGGATACCTTTTTTTTAGACCGAAGTTGCTTTGCGCAAGTTGCTCTGTGCGAGTTGCAGTGTGTGCAAGTTGGCACGAGACAGCGCCAGGCAAGGTGCTCTGCGCAAACTGGTCGGTGCAAGTTGGTCTGCGCAAGTTGCTCTAGGCAAGTTGCACTGTGCAAGTTGCTCTGCGCAAGTTGCTCCGGGCAAGTTGCTCCGGCAAGTTGGTCCCTGCAAGTGGCTCCCTGCAAGTTGCTCTGTGCAAGTTGCGCTCCCTGCAAGTTGCTCTGTGCAAGCTGCTCTGTGCAAGTTGCTCTGTGCAAGTTGCTCTGCGTAAGTTGCTCTGCGCAAGTTGCTCTAGGCAAGGCGCTCTGCGCAACCTGGTCGGTGCAAGTTGGTCTGCGCAAGTTGCTCTGTGCAACTTGCTCTGCGCAAGTTGCTCTGCGCAAGTTGCTTTAAAAATGCAAGTTGCATCTTGCGACGCCCGCCCGCGGACCAGGGAGGAATCGAACCCGCGACCCGCCGGTTCCGGGAGCAGGCGCGCGAACCACGAGACAACTCCCGAGGACCAGTTCGAACAACAAAAGTCGCCAAAAAACCTCGAGTTTTTGCACCTCGCCCACGCCGATTCCCGCAGAGGGTTGCGCGAGCGCCGCAGAAATCGCAAAAAACCATGGGTTTTTGCACCTCGACCACGCCGATCCCCGCAGAGGGTCGCGCGGGCATGTTGGAAATCGCAAAAAACCATGGGTTTTTGCACATGGGTTTTTGCACCTCGACCACGCCGATCCGCCGCAGAGGGTCGCCCGAGCAGGTTAAACATCGCAAAAAACCTTGAGTTTTTGCACCTCGACCACGCCGATCCCCGCAGAGGGTCGCGCGAGCACCGCAGAAATCGCAAAAAAACCATGGGTTTTTGCACCTCGACCACGCCGATCCCCGCAGAGGGTCGCGCGGGAACTTTAGAAATCGCAAAAAACCATGGGTTTTTGCACCTCGACCACGCCGATCCCCGCAGAGGGTCGATTTTCGTGTAGTGTCGTCGGCACTACCCCGCCGCCCTAAGAAGAGATTTTAACTCCTCGCAAGTCAATTGCACTTGACTCCTTGCACTTGCAACTTGCACTTGACTCCTTGCTTGTTTCAAGGAGTCATTGCAAGGAGTCATTGCAAGGAGTCATTGCAAGGAGTCATTGCAAGGATTGCAAGGAGTCATTGCAAGGAGTCATTGCAAGGAGTCATTGCAAGGAGTCATTGCAAGGAGTCATTGCAAGGAGTCATGAGAGCCATTGCAAGTTGCAAGGAGCCAAGTGCATGGAGTCAAGTGCAAGTCGCAAGTGCACGGAGTTAAGTGCAAGTTGCAAGTGCAAGGGGCCAAGTGCAAGTGCAAGGAGCCAAGTGCATGGAGTCAAGTGCAAGTTGCAAGTGCAAGTTGCAAGTGCAAGGAGTCAAGTGCAAGTTGCAAGCGCAAGGAGTCAAGTGCAAGTTGCAATCCTTGCCATGACTCCTTGCAATGACTCCTTGCAATGACTCCTTGCAATGACTCCTTGCAATGACTCCTTGCAATGACTCCTTGCAATGATGACTCCTTGCAATGACTCCTTGCAATGACTCCTTGACTCCTTGCAATGACTCCTGCAATGACTCCTTGCAATGACTCCTTGCAATGACTCCTTGCAATGACTCCTTGCAATGACTCCTTGCAATGACTCCTTGCAATGACTCCTTGCAATGACTCCTTGCAATGACTTTCATGATGATGATTCCTTGCAATGACACCTTGTAATGACTCTCATGGGAACAACTCAAGTGAACCCAGCGGAAGAACCCTTCGCCATGCTTTCGGGAAAAGAGCGTGCGCACATGTTTGTCGGTCGCACCCTTTTATCGTGGACTGCATGTTCCCTTTCGGATTGAAGCAGTGATCAAGATTCTAACAGAATTGAAAAAGCAAATGAGTGCTTCGCACGCGATAGCCCTCATATTGTTTCCTCTCAGAACTTCACCTTGCCGCAGGTGCAGCTGCAACCCCACACTGAAGGGGGGGACTTTGCGCCTTGGCCTCAATCTGCCTTTTCCGGGGTTGCCTTGGGAAGCACTGAAGGGGGGGAAAACTCGCCCTTTGTCCTCGGGGCACCGCAGTGCCCTAGGAAAGTGCTACCTTCCAAGCAACCCGATAGAAAAGGTGTGCGCCTTGCGGTCGGCTTTTGTTTCTGGGTTATTTGTGATTTGTGGCTAGGAGCGGTGCGCAGGACCTTTAACAGGACGGAAGTGCTGTTGGCAGTCCCTACATTGCACCTGGGCAATATGAACCAGGGTCGCAAGCTTCCACACTCCAAGGGGGCTCAACCGAGCCAATCTGTAGTCCAAAAGCCAACGCCTTGAGGTCAGCAGGCCAATCAGCTCTTGCCGCAGCCAACGCTGTGCCTATTTGCACAATCAGCATCTGTCTGGTCGGCAACACTGCAGCCTAACAAGACATGGAGTTGAATTGCATTACGCCCAAAAGTGTGCTGCTCAGGAGGGCAGCGCGCTCGCAGGAGTTAAGCAGCCCGCTTTTGCAAGCGCAACCGCAGCCGAGCTGGGCCAGGCTGCTTGTTCTTCCCCCCATTTGTTGTTTCTTTCCACTTTGATTTGTTTCTTGGCCTGGTTTGCTTTGCTTTGGTCCTTAAGGCCGGGTTCAACACACACACGCAAAACCATCCACCAAGACAAACTATAAACCAGCTCTAAACACGCCCCATACCAACTCGAATTCCCCGACGTTGTGACAAACCTTTTTGTTTGTTGACATGCAAACTTGATGAGTATGTCATGCTGATTTGCATTGCAGTGCGTTCACTTTAGCATGTCAGCATGCTGCGGGCGCAGCAAACATCTATTTGGAGGCCGTGCAGCATCTCTTTGGGAAAATGGTCGCATCGGACAACTACGACATTGAAAATCATTCTCACCCATTCACCCATTGAGATCCCTTCACCCATTCACCCAACATGGAGCCAACCAGGCCTGTTTTTCAATGGTTTTCACTCTTACCATGGCAGGTGAAGGAGGTTTTTGAAATTCAATATGTTCATTTGTTGATCGACTTGCATCAAGCCAACAGGATGTGCATCCAACTGCGATTTCCACAGCACCTACATACAGTAAGATGGTAGCTGAAACATGATTGCGATTGTAGTGGGTTTCTGCCAGCGACCAAATGAGGTTAGCTATGTGTTTTACACCTTGCGCATATTCACGTGACAAGTGATGGCGAATGCTCGGATTTTTTAAGCTTGGCACTGGGATGGGATCATTTCGCCAAATATCCGGAAGGAATTTGCATGGCGAATGTGCCGCGCCATCTGCGCATGGATCCTGGTGTGGCAAGACAGCGTGACCATTGTTAGAGGCGTGCAAGTTCCATTGCTAGAGGCAGGGCTTGCAGCAATCAGTTTAGGTTGTGCAACATTTGCAACAGGCAGTCTGCGAGTTTACCTTGGCGATCTTTGGTGGAGTTTTTTTTGGTGATTCCACTTCTTCAAACTGTTGTTGCTTGACATGTCGAACATGTTGCGCCCTGTGAAGTCTAGTTCTGTTGAAACTTCTCGGTGTTCGGCCAGGCTGCGCGCTGGGCATTGTCAACAGGACGCCGGAATCGGATTGCGGAACTAGCGGTTTCGGGGAGGACCTGGATGTTTTTGAGGAAAGGCCTGAAGAAATCACAGTTGGGCCTACACACAAGGCCTGCAATAAGATATGCGCTTCAAACATGCGTTGTTGGAGAAGAAGCATTGCCTCCATGCAATCAGACCCCAAAGCTCCCTCCGAGAGTTATTTCACCTGAGGGGTTTGGGCCCTTGGCTTTTCTGTGACCAACCCACAAGAGTAATTCGGTTCCAGCTATCGGCCTTTGAGTTGCACATCAGGGGCTTCCAGCAGCTGCGCGCAGCCGGGCGGAGCCGAGTTCGAGGCAAATTTGCTGCGCACTGCTTTGGCAAACAAAAAGGGGAAATGCCACGTGAACCAACACGTGGATCACTTGTCTGATGGTTTTTATCGAGTCCGGCAGTTGGATCGGAGGTGTGCCCACAGCCATGGGCCGCCGTGGAGGCGTGAAGCCTAGCTCTGCACACTTGGGCTTGGGTTCCTTTGGAATTTTTGCACAGCGCCGAATCCGACGAAGTGAATTGAGTTCCCTGTGCCGTCAAATGCGACAGAAGCCCACGCCGATCGGGCCGATCTGAAGTGCGGTACATGGACTCGCACCGTGCGAATCAACTTGTAAAAAAGGGTTTCGCTTTTTTTTTAAGGAATCTAGGCGCTTCTATTGAGGGTTTGGAGCTTTGAGCATCTACGTTTTGAGACCCCGCCTTTAATCAAATACGTCGTGCATGTGTTCCCATGTTTTCCCTGAGCCAAGTGACCTGCTCTCCGCTTGAGGCCTGGCAGTATGCGTGCGCCAACTTGTTGGCAGCGGAAGCGCTGGGCGCAGGACCTATGTTGTTTTTGTTGCTCTTGGGTTGGCGTCAAAGGGACACCAAAAGGAAGGCCTTTGGCCATTTGGGTATGGGTCAAAATGAAACCACCAAAAAACCGCAAGGTTTAGTCTTCGTTTCATTCTTCCGGGGTTCCATTTCGGGTACCCTTTTGGACCCACACCCATTTTGGGTCTGAAGCAAACTCTGGAATTTGAAGTTTGGGGTCTGAAACAAACTCTGGACCCCTGATGTAAAAGGTGGTAGCAAAGGTCACTGGCGTCTCCAAAAGGCCCTTGTTTTGATACTTCCCCAGCTGAAGCAGGAAGTGGGGAACAGAGGAAAAGAGGGGGGGGAACAAAAACGAGCAAAAACATTCCAGCCAAGATCGACCCATGCGTGGCCGGCTTCCTGACAAGAACAAACGTCGGGTTGACAGTTGCATGAAGGACGTTGGTCGCATGCGGCCAGGCCAGATGGGTGAAGGTGTCGTTTCTCCCGACGTCCAAATTATGGCAAATCAAGCCAACCTCAGAAGCAATCTGCACCTTATTGTCGCCTTTCAGGGAGACTCTTGCAAAACACACTATTCTGTCAATTGCCAGCACCGCCGCCGCTGCGGGCCGCTTCTTTGTCAACCCGGACAGGGCTGCCTTTGCGAAGGCGCGGCATGGACATGACCGGCAGGAGCACATGCTGTGTTTGTTGAGTCGTGTTTTTTTTTTTTTTTGGTTTCGTTTGGTCTGGTTGTGTTTGTTGTGGTGTTTGTTGTGTTTGTTTCCTTTGTTTGTTTGTTTGTTGGTTTGTTTATTGCCATCGTTGCCCCTTGTGTTTGTGTGGACCTAACTGGGCCACATTTGATCTTTGCCAAACGTTGCCAGACACGACTGAAGTACTGTATATGTAGTCAGGATCCGAGTCGCGCGATACGGAAGTGAAGCGGCTGAATGTGCCCACACTGCTACTTTTTCTTTTTAGCTGCGTGAGGTCAGAGCTGGTTTGCTGAAGACAAATCACAAGCAAACGGTGCAGGGCGCGTGAATGGTTCAAAACGAAAGTGGTCTTGAGCTTAACATGTGCATGCCAAGTTAATCGCATTCACCTCGTGCCTTGGCGGCCATATTTCATGATTGTACTTAAACTTGTCAGCAGCAGGTGTGTGTGTGTGTGTCAAAACTGCTACTCCATTCACGTGCTTTGTTTCATGCTGGCTTCCTTTCAAAGCCGCTCCCAGAGGGTCGCTAGTTTTCACACACACACACACACACACACGCACACGGCCACGTCGTTTCGGGGTATTCTGGCCGGGTTGTTTTGGCCCAGCAGCACAGAGCTGTTGGTGCGACCGCAGGTGTCAGAAGAGGCTGCTGCGCTGAGAAGGCGCGGGGAATTTTTGGAGGTGCGCCAGGAGTGGAAAGGCTTGCCTTTTCCATATCATTTTCAGGTGTCCTTTGTTGTTCGAGCCTTTTTCATAAGCAATTGAGTTATATCAGAGTGATTTTATTGTGTGCCGGAAGGTGGACAATTCCTGTGCCTAGTTGGTTGTCTTAGCCTTTTCTGGGCCAGCAGGTGCAAGACGTAGAACTGCACTTCAGATGCTTCCGTGCGGCTGGGCCGCTGAAGCGGGGCGAGTGGAGTGCATGCCTGGTGTTGCCAGAAGCTGCCCACGGTACAGGCATATGCTAGAAGCAGAGCTTCCTTTGCCGCTGCCCCAGTTGTTTGTGATTGGTCGCGACGAGAACTTAGGCGGCCAAGTTGAGCACTGCATGAGAAGCATCATTTTCAACATTTGGTTTGGCGAACGAGGCCAAAGTGTACGCTGGACTATCCAGAGGCACCGCAGACGTGAAGCAAGCTCTGCAGCTTTGGTGGTGCTTGGTTTGGCAGTTTGGGTGTGCTCCTTTGGCGCAAGGTACAACAGCATCCAGGTTTTCAGCATTGTTTCTTTTTGAGAGCTGCGTCATTCGAAGAAATTCATGATTGTGTCTATGGATTTTGTTGCACAGGTGTCCATCAACAGGGGGGGGCTTTTTCCCGGGGGAGTTACAGGTATATGACATATGTAACATGCATGTTTCCAGGCACCCGGAACCTTTTTTCAATGGGAGCTGTCGAGGTGCCGGGGCTCGGCGTGCCATTTCCGCTGGCCGGGTGGCCGAGAGCTTTTGCTTTTTTTTGGGGGGGGCGAACACCTGTTTTGGGCTCCATGTCGATTTGCCGGGGCAGCTTCAAAACCACATGTTTTCCCATTTGTGATGTTACACATCCCCTTCTGCGTCACGAAGCCCCCGATTCAGTCTTTTAACAGTTTATGAGATCTCACTCTGTGGCAAACTGGTGTCTAAAGCCAATCCAGGACTGGGCTGATCAATTCGAAGATCGGCAGCTGATTTCTGCCATGTCGCGCATGAGGTTTTGTCAGAATTGCCCTTGTTGTCTATGGTCCATTTGGGAGGGACATGCGGAATTCATGAAACTTCCGCACACAAGCCAGCAAACTCACCAACTTCCCCACGTGGGTGTGTCGTTTTCTGAGGGTGTCCCTTTTTTGGCAGGCTTAAACGGAAACTAAAGGAAAACCCATCATTTTGGGAGGGCCATGTCTAGGGGCAACACGGTGATTTTGGTCCGTCCCTCATGTGGCTTGATCAAAGGGCTCGATTGACTCGATTTGAGGTGCCAGTGGTGATCTCCGAGCCGGTGTCGTTCTCGGAGTCGGCCATGAAGCGGTCCTGAATGGGGAGTGTTGTTGATTGGGAATCTCTCTTTCCCTTTTCCTTTCTCTTGGTCTTTCTCTTTCTCACTCTTTGGGTCTTTCCGTTTGTCTTTTCTTATTCTCTTGGTCTTTCTCTGGTATGATCACAAGCACACACATTACGGAAAAACGCGGGGCTGGGGTGTGATGCTCAAACCTTTTGGCGATTTTTCAGGGGCTCTCATGTTCTGTGTGGCACGTTTGGCAATTTCCACCCCGAAACGTGGGGGGACCCCTACTTGGTAGGTGGTTTCTCCCAGTATTCGGGTTGCATCATTCCCATCCATCCAAAGTGGTGCCAAGCGGAAGTTCTACCCATCCACAGTAGGCTTGATATCCAGTCAGGCAAGCCTTCAGTTGAAGGGCGGTGCTGCCATGCCGTGGGAGGCCCAGTGAGTTGGCGGATCGCCATCATTGGTTTCCCGAAACAAAGCATCCATGGCAACTGGGGTTCACCTTAGCACGGGCAGCCCAAGCTACAAGCAAGTGTGCATATTGTTGAAGCTGCAGTTCATAGTCATGTCTTCCCTTGCAAGAAAACCTCACAACGTTCGGTGAGTTTCCTACTCAGGGGTCTATATCCGCCCCTATGTGATATGGGCTAACGCGAGGGTTTTCAGGAAAGGTTCCTTCTTCCCACACAACTCCACGCCTCCGCAAAAGAAAACGAAGGAGCCGCTTGCGCTGTGAGCCATGCCCAATTCGGGACAGGCGCAAGTGCTCTGGAACATCCCACGATTTGGGCTTCGGTTTCATCCTGGTTTCACTTTCAACCACCCTTTTCGCGCGCATCCCAAACCATGCCGTGCAAACGACCCAAAAAGGGACCCGCCCTGCGCAAAGTGGCGCAACAAACCACCAAACCCAAGGGTCCAAGGAGTCCAAGCTGGCAATCCGGGCTTCCCCGTTCCGAGCTTTGGGTTGGAGGCTCCTGGCGCTGGCCGTGTCTGGCCGAAGCCGCGGGCTGAATTGGGTTGGATATAGGGAGGAAGCCAAATGAGGTTCAGAGGGGAAGAAACTTTCATAGGGAAGCGCCCCAAAAGTGGCTGGTGGACATGACTACAAAATTTTGATGTCCACCAAAGGGTCCCAATTAATAAAGACAAAGATAAATGCCCTTGTGCGTCTGGGTCAAAATTAGACCTCTAGGGAACTGCAGGTTGTCCATGTTTCCATTTAGGGTAATCCATTTTGAGGTTACCCCATCACCCAAGGCTTCGTTTTCAACGCATGTGGTTGCTTGTTTGGGTGGGAGTCGTTGAAAGGGGATCCACAGGGGGAGCCCCGAAGAATTGCCAGGGAACCAGCCACATCCAACCACAAACACCTGGTGAAGTGCGGTACATTACATGGTGCTCAACTTGTTCGTCTACTTGCAATATTTTCCAAATCAATATGGCATAATGGTGGTTTCAACCCTCAAAGTGCAGCCGTTTAAGCCTTACACGGATAGGACACGAATATGAATTGGGCGACACAAGATCTATTCTTTACACCCCCGGCCTTTTGGGGATATTTTTTTTTCTCTGATGAAGAATCACTGCACATTTCAGAGGCCAAGCGTGTTCTATGGGGGGATCCCAAAGCGGGTCCAGAACTAGCTGCGGACTACCAGCCACGAATCCCCTTCACCGTAAGACCTCGAGCGAAGTGCAGTGGTGTAGATTTGGTGTCAGGGCGAGTGCTTCCAAAGCGAGCACCGTACTGTTTCAGTTGCAGCAAATTGAGGGCTTTGCTTGCGGACTTTCCTAGGTTATTGTAGTGCATTAATTTGCAGGCACATCCAATCCACTCCGATCCGGATCCGATTGGCGTTCAACTGAGGCAGCTTTAAGATCTCCTTTTGAAAGGGACATTCCTAGGACACCGGCAAGGAATGATCAAATATGTGGCCCCTTGTCGCCTCATGCCTTCTTTCAAGCGACACCGAAAGAGGCCATTACTTTCTCGTGTGAAGGTCTTTTGGGCTCAGGTCGTCCATCTGTCTCCGACATCTCCCAAGCACTTCGTGACGGCGCCGGGCCCTTGGCGAGCCCGGAAAGCCAGAGGATGCCGAGAAGACACCCAAAGATGCCCTAAGTTGGAGAGGGCCGCGATATCTATTGCGTTTCAGCTCAGAAGAGCTACAAGAGTGAAAATCGTTGAGATGCTGCACAGTTGGGACTGTAGGGGCGGAATAGACCTGAAGAGCTTCTGCAACAAGCAACAGTTTTCAACAGATGTCGAGGTAAACAGGGGCTGGGAGCACAGACCGAGGTCCGACACCTGGAGGCTAGGGCTGCAAGCTCCGATGCTATCAAGTCAGGAACAGTATTCACCTTCCACCGATCTAGTATATTGGGAGTGCCCCAAGAGGGTGTACGGGGAGTCGAAATGCTTCGACTCATACCTTTTCGACTCATACCATTCGACTTTGCTTTTTGGTCCCCAATGCCGTGAACCAATCTGGGTCCCAAAGTGCGGGATGACTGGTCATCTGGTCATTTCTTTGACCTCTGCCAATACCGTTTGGGAATCTCTGCCAAGGGAGAGGGAGAGGGGCGGTCTTGCATATATACACACCTGGCAGGTGTCTCCCAGCGTAGCGCACGCTGTAGGCCGGTCCCTAGCAGCGGGTGGGACCGGAACAAAGATATAGAAACTCGAAGCCAAGCATCGCAAAGGCGCGAGACATGGTCGCGACCCTTTTGCATAGTTGGAAGATGTTTGATACGAGTCAATCATTTGCTTCAAACTCATCACTGCTGATAAATCATACAGGTGCTGGGCATGGCTTCTCCAGGGTTCCGATGCGCTGTTTACACGTGCCATGCCTTTTTCACGTGCCCTCGAAATGGTTGACGGAAATCCCAAATGATGCCGGCCCGGGCCAAAGGGTCCCCAAGTCACCCTTTTCTTTAAAAGAGCTGCAGCTCTTCCGTGCATCTGTTTCAAGTGCCCACCAGCGACGTCCCCGATTCGGATTGATTCATACCCAAGTGTTTCCGCAGCGCCTTCAAAGATCTTTGGTTTGCCTGAAAGCTTAGCTCGGCCCACGAGGCCAAGCCATCCGCGAGAGCAGAGCTCGCGGCTCAGATTCCGGCAAGTGGCATTGCGTGGATGGTAGGGTCCGCTTTTACATGCGGATAGCGGCTCTGTGGATTCACATGTTGGGTAAACTGCTTCAAGGCCAGGTTGTGATGATGTCTCAAAATTGCCGCGGTGTTATGGCTTTCTGTCAAGATGAACTACGGGTCCAACTCGTTCTCCCTGTTGACTTGAGCCCCGCGGTTTCGAGCCCAGGAAACCCCCGATTTTGAGGCCAAGGTCCCAGCGAGGGTCGCAGCTTCAGGTCGTTTAGCTCTTTTAGGTCGAGGCTTTGGGAATTAATCCCAGAACAGGTCGAAGCCGCTGCAAATTGGGTTGTACTGTTGGCTTCGTTCCGAGGTGGAACGAAGCGAGCTCTTCCTTTCAGTGCTGTGGCAGCCGCCTTTGGATTCGGCCGCCGGGTGGCCCGGCCTGGAATGGATCAATGGACCCGCTCGCCAGTTGCAATATGTCTCAAACGGCACCAAAGCGCCGAAGCCAGCGGTTTTGCAAAGGCTACCTCCTCCCCCACGAGAAGACTTGCTGGTGCTCACTCAGCAGGGAATGAGGGAATGACCCGTATAAACCATCCCTTGTGGTTTCCTTTAAGGGGATCCCCAAGTTCATTCCCTCATTCCCTACCAATCGCCCCAGCAAGAAGAAGGTCGACGCATTTCCCTCTAGGCAAAGCTGCAGGCGTTGGCCGACCAGTCTCCCTGGCGCTGTTCGATTGGGCTCGGGCGGAGGTGGGCGCGGAAGCGCCTCTCCAAATTCAACTTCAACGAGCCTTAGTCGGTTTTCGGGTTCCCTGGCCGAGCTTTGGCTGCTCAAGTTGCGCGAAATGGAGTACGTTGCTGTCATTGAAAGGACTCGTTCTTCACAAGGGGCAGGGTCCCAGGTCTTACTGCGGCCTCAAATGAGCAGGAGTGGGAACAGTCTTCTCTCACCCCAAAGTTTGTCGACAGCTGCTGTGCAGGCCCCATTGCCTTAGTGCGTTTTCACAGGCGGAAGGTTGCAAGCTAGGGAGAACCCGCCCCTAAGGGCATCGTGGGCCCAATACTTGGCAAAACCGTTGCTTTTCCCGGCGCGTCAAGCCACTTTTCTTTGCTCAAGATGCAAAGAACCCACCATTTTTAGGCGGCTTACGGTGTTCCCCAAAGGTCCACGACTTTCGGTGGTTCCAAACATCAACTTTTTGGCCGACATGTTTAGCCAGTTTCTTCTAAGCGCCAAATTGGATTTGGTTTTATTTGTGTTTTTCTGCAGACAACCCCCAAAAGATGTTTTTTCCCAAAGCAAGGCACATACAATATACCCAGGCTGTCTTGCCAGGCTGGGGCCAGTGGACATGATGATCCTTCCCCACGCCTTGCCTTTCGACGCGATGCGGCGCGCGTGAGGGGCGCCCAGGTGGCGTTTTGGGAGCTACCCGGGCTACCCGAAGGACTCGAATCCAAGGGTGGTTCACATATATATATATATATATATACATAAATATATTTTGCTGAGTACTGGGTGCAGATGACTGCCAACTCTGGGAAGTTCCGAAGCTCCTATCCCCCCAAGCAAAAACACTACCCCCCCCCCCCCCCATTTTTTGGGGTCTGAAAAAGACGCCAACAAGGGGAAGGGCGACTCTGGACGTTGCAAAACCGGAAGAAAAACAACAAGAAACTGAGAAACAAGACTCTCGAAGGGAAGGTAGCTGGCAGACTCCCACAAGGGTCTCTCTCTCTCTCTCTCTCTCTCTCTCTCTATATGTATATATATATATATATATTTCACTAGGGACCCCTTTGGCTTTGGTGCGCTTGTGCTGTGTTGCAAACATGGAACCCCAAAATGTCTCTTTTTGGTGAGTTCCCTAGTGTTCAATGGGAAGTTGTCAGGCGGAGCAGCTGCGGAAGAAAGCTTGTGGGGTCGATCACCACAGACCCCGAAGTGAGCCCCCCTAAGCCTCTCCAAATTTCAAGGTTTCAACAGCTCAGGTGGCGGCACCTGGAGAGGCAGGTGCCCAAGATGCGAAGAGAAGGGCGACCTTTGTCAAAGCTTTGGCCCTTGGAAGTGGCCTTTGAACAATTCCAGTTTAACACTTAGATTGGGCCCACGATTTTCAGAACACCCCGGGGGAAAAAACAAAAACTTCGCAGCTTGGCGGTTCTCCAAAAGCCACCAGCTGTTGCTGAGTCCGTCCGCCGCTTGATGTGTGGTAGAATCGCGGGATTATTCCCTGCACGTGTTGCACGCCCAAGTAGCAGATGGCTGAGTGGCACACATTTGACCACTCCAAAACAGGCACGGAGTCCTATTTGGTTGTGTCTTCTCTTCACGATCCCCTCCCCCTTTTCCTTCTTTTCTCCTTTTCGGGATGGCAGGAACCTGTTGCCTTCGACCTTTGGGCTGTCAAGACATCCCCACCTCCCCTCCCCCCCGGACCAATGCCGAAGGCTCAAGGCCAAGGGCTGGCTCCGGGCCCTGGGCGTCCGGGGCTTCCGGCCGGAGGAGGCGACTGCGCGACTCGAATACTCGAAGTGGAGGGAAGCCGTTGGTCCGAGGTAAGAAAGAGAGACTCAGAGAGGTGGGCTTGAGAAGGGTTGAAGGGTTTCAAGGGAGGGCTTTGGGAAGCCGGGATGGTGACGTATGATTTTACCCGTCAGTTGGGCTCTGGCCGAAATGACTCTTACAGGTTCAGGCACGCACAGCCTGGAAGCACGAGCTGCGGTGGTTCCTGAAATACGTGTTTTGCTCGGCCACAGCATCAGGTGCTTAGACATTTCTCTCCACACATTTGGCAGGGTCATCCTAGTGACATGACCCCCAAAGGCGGCTCCAAATAGATGTCTGCAGGTGGACGCGCTGCCAAGCCCAAACCTGGTGGAGTATGCCCAGTGTGCCGGGCGCCAAAGGGATCCGGTGCAATAGGTAGGGATTTAGAAAGGGAATGAACCTGGGGATTCCCGAAAAAAGAAACCAAATCGGCGATGGGTTATAGGGGTCATTTCATTTCTCATTCCCTGCCTATCGCACCAGCAAGTTTCTGAATTCGGGTTTGCGGCGCGTCTTAAACTGTAATAAACATGCACCACAACATGGACCTGTACGGTCTTTTCCAGTGGGTCGACCATAGTGCCCATGGGCAAGAGGACACTTAGGTGTCTTGGGAGAAGACCGGCCCCTTCGCTTCCTCAACAACCCTGCTCCAAGAAGCGGGCGTTGCGTACCGTTTCAGGAGCGCGAACAAACATCCGCCAAGACAAGACGGGGGCCAGCAGCCAAATGGTCAGTGCACATTGGTTTTCAGGCGCAAAGCTCAAACAAGAGTTTCAGAAGCTTCTGTTTTGGCTTCCCCCAGGACAATAGCCGCATTCGAGGTCTTCACGCCATACCGCCAGGGCCACAGGTGAGCGAGACTTGAGAGCTGGTCTTCGGGAGGGGTGGCAGAGACATTTGCCAATCCTTTGCCAGTGAGCTCATCCATCCATGTACAGTTGATTTAGGCGGGAATGCATAGATCCAGGGTCATCACAAGCGGAAAGGCCCCTTTCCGTTGCCTCCCGAAACGCGCGGCACGGATTTGCTCCCCCCACAATTCTACTCGACTCGAGGCCCGGGTCCTTCTCGAGACACCTGGAAGTGCCTGGCCTGAGGGAGTTCCCGGATTCGAAGCCCTGTGGATGCGACGCCTTTTTTTTCCTTTCTCTTTTTTTCAAAGGATACATCTTGACCGAATCTGGAAAATCACCTTTGCAAGCTGTTTCAAGGGATTTCTGCCTTTCGGAGAATTTTGGGTGTCTCTGGAGATGGCCTTTGCCAATGTCGGAGCTTTCGGAGCCGCAGATGGCCGCCAAAGACGCGGGCAGTCTCTTACGGAATTCGCAAATGGATTTTCAAGCAGTGAAACCGACATTGAACAGGGAGTCTTAGAGTCTTTTGGGGTGTCTTGGTCCTTGTCAGCCTTGAGTCGAGGCTACCGGTCTTTTGATCGGCCTTTGGTGACCTGTCTCAAAACGTGACATGCCAGTTTGCGAATGGACGGCTAAAGGACACCGTGAAGCATATCGTTTTCAAGCATGTCCACAACCCAGGGAAACCGAGATCAGAAGGCAAGCCAGAGGACATCAGCAGACCAAATGGGAAATCCGAATCAGCCAATCAGAAAGCCGCTGAGCACCAGATACAGCAGAAGAAGCACGTTTGGAGACGCCGTGATTTGTTCACTCCGGTTACCTGGGCACCTGGGCATTTGGGCGGCCGTGTTCCGATTTGAAATCGATTTCCCAACTCCAAATTCATATCGAAGTAACCGTATTTTTTGTTTTGCCTTGAGCTATGCCTCATGTGTTCGACACATTTCCATAGCCTCTTCCGGGAGACTGAAGCCGCTGGCCCAACCTTGAAAAGCTACGTGCTTCTTGAAGCATGCTGGTTGATGTGTGCTTCAGGCTTACTCAACTTGATGCACTTCCCATTAGGTACCCCACCCGAACCCGAACCCGCACCCCCCCCCCCCCAAAAAAAAAGGAGGAAAGAACCACGAACCACGAGCCACGAACCCAAACCCGAATCCGAACCCCACCGAGCGGACACGCCCGGTCCGGAACCCGAACCCGAACCCGTTAGGGTAGTTAGCCGGGGTACGCTCTGGCACATTAGCTGATTCGAAGGGACCAGTCGGACCAGTGTTGAGGTCTGACTTGAACACTTTGAAGGCAACAGTCCTGGCCTCAGGCGCTTTGGCCAGCGCCAGATCGCCTTGGCGGCCGCCGGGTGCGCCTTTGGGAGGGCTGGGAGGTGGGTGCGGATCTCCGCCCGATTTCTTTATCCACGGTGTTCAGGGATTTGAGTTTGACTATGGACCCCTTTTTGTGACTTTTGTGTCAAAGGAGAGGAAATCAACCATAGTGGTTTGTGACTATGGCCAGGGTCTGGTATTTGTAAAGGGCAAAAGGAAGGGGCACGAACCGTGGGCCGCTATTTTGAGCAACTCCCAGCACAAATTGGATCGAGCTAGGGATACCACCAGCTCATCGGGGTCTTCTCGTATTTCCAGCATGAATTTGGGCGTAGCCCGGACCTTGTGCGAAGCATCTCTTGCTTGAAGGGGCTTCACGCCTTTCAGAAGCTGGACTGAGCTTGAGGACAAAGGGTTGCTTCAACCTGTTGAGAAACCATAGACACACACACACACACACTGATTTTGTCAGATCCGCCAGGTTGTTGTCGGACTGGCCGCGCCCGCTACGTCCACCAGATGACCCCCACGCCGGGGCACCCGTCGACCTAGAACCCATGAAGTCTGGCGATGGACAAGGGCAAAGTCCTATTTTTTTGGTTCGGGTGGAGTTCCTGGCTGTGAATGATGGGGAACACCCTCACAAATGCTTGGTGGACACAAATCATCATGACAAAAACCTGCCCGCGGTAGGGTCCTCTTTTTTGGCGCTCACGCCCAAAGGCGACCCCTCGTTTTGTTTCGGCTCTCTCTGTTGCGCAGGTGCGGATCATCGCTGAGCGCCTCGGGAAGAGTGGTGCCCAGGTGGGAGATCCGAACCGCTGTTTACCCAGTCCTTGACAAAAGTCCTTGGCAGCTGTGGGGCAGGCGCCGTTTTGATGGCTTTGACGAACAAACCGATTCGGATATGCACATATATATATATATATATATATAATGTTATGTACATATATCTATATCCATATGTATGAGTTATAGTATATATATATATATATATACACATACATACCTCGACCAGCTTTCCGTTTTGTGAAATCTTCCTGAGCACCCGTGTTTTACGCCCAGAACGGTGTAGCCACACCATACAGAGCAATACATTGTTGAATGTAGTCGCTGCTTATTTTGGTTGCAGCAAGCTGGTTGCACCATAGGAAGCCAGTAAATCTGTCTGCATTGCCCAGGGTCCATGGAAGAATGACTTTGAGGTTGCAAAATCAGCTCAGCCGGCTGAATTGCAGGATCCCCTGACAAAGTAGGTGTTCAACGAAAACCCAACGGAGCCCAAGGAAATCCGAAGGAAGCCCCAAGAAAAAACCCAAGGAAACCTCACGGAAACCGACGAACACGCAAAGGGAAACTGCCGGCAAGCGAACCGCCCACAGGTGCTGCTGCGCTGGGCCTTGCAACTGGGCCTGGCAGTGGTCTTCCGCGCGAGGCGAGGAGACGTATGCCAGATGTCGCTTTCGGCCTTGTCAGTCACCAGTTTTCGTTTTGGTTGTTGTTGCTTTTGGGTCGTTTTAGATTGGTTTGCTTTTTTTCCCCAACAGCTGAAAGCTTTGGGGTCTCAGCCCAGATAGGCTCCGGGGTGGTCCGGGGCGGCCCTGAGGTAAGGTTCCACGAGGGTTCCACGAGGGTTCCACGAGGGTTCCACGAGGGTTCCACCAGGTTCTGCGAGGGCTGCGGGGTGGTCCGGGGTGGTTTGAGGTAAGGTTCCACGAGGGTTCCACCAGGGTTCCACCACCAGGTTCTACGAGGGCTGCGGGGTGGTCGGGGTGGTTTGAGGCAAGGTTCCACGAGGGTTCCTGCAAGGTTCCACCAGGTTCTGCGAGGTGGTCCGGGGTGGTTGTTCCACGAGACGAGGGTTCCACCAGGGTTGGTCTGGGGTGGTTTGAGGTAAGGTTCCCACGAGGGTTCCACCCAGGTTCTGCGAGGGCTGCGGTCTGGTGCGGGGTGGTTTGAGGTCAGGTTCCACGAGGGTTTCACCAGGGTTCTACCAGGTTCTGCGAGGGCTGCGGGGTGGTCCGGGGTGGTTTGAGGTAAGGTTCCACGAGGGTTCCACCAGAGTTTTACCAGGTTCTGCGAGGGCTGCGGGGTGGTCTGGGGCAAGGTTCCACAAGGGTGCCACCAGGGTTCCACCATGCGCGGGGGTCGGGGTGGTTTGAGGTCAGGTTTTAGCAGGCTTCTACCAGGGTTCCACCAGGGTTCCACCAGGTTGAACGTAAGGTTCCACGAGGGTTCGACCAGGTTCCACCAGGGTTTTGCAAGGGTGGTTTGAGGTAATTCCACAAAGGTTCCACCAAATTCTCTGCAAGGGCTACGGGGTAGTCAGGTGGTTCCATGAGGGCCGAGCGGCCGACCACGGTTCTACCGGATTCTGCAAGGTAAGGTTCCATGAGGGTTCTACCAGGTTCTAGCAAGGCTGCGGGGCTTCCATGAAAGTTCCAGGGTTCCACGGGCTGTGGCTGAGGTAAGGGTTTCACAGCAGTTCCGCAAGGATTCGACAAGGGTCACAAGGCTCCACAACGCTCGACAAGTTCCACAAATGTCTGCAAGGATCCCGAAGCAATGTGTCGTGCGCCCACCGCCTGAAAAGCCATCGGAGCAGTAAATTGAAGATCGCTTTGCTCATGAGCGGAACACTAAGCAAAACCGAAATCAATGGTTTTCAGCACACTTTCACTGTTTTGTCACTTGCTCACTTGCTCAGATGCGTTGGCTTTGTGGCAAACTCACTGTGTAGCAGAGTAAATGCTTGGCATTACTGAGTACTACTTGGTGGGCTTTGGGTTTCAAGGGTTTTGCGAGGCTGCGAGGGCTACGGAATAAGACTCCAAAAGCGCTCCACGAGGGTTTTGCGAGGCTCTGCAAAAGCTATGGGGCTGCCCTGAGGAAAGGTTCCAACAAAGTTTCACGCTGAGCCCACGAGGGTTCCGCGAGAACGGTCTGAGAGGTTCACTGGGCAGGTTGGGGCCCGATTGCACCGTCGGGGCCCGATCCAAGCCGGTATCGCCTAGTTTTGCTAGATACACTTGTAAGGCCGCACTCTAAGCAAAACTGGCGTTCAGCTACAATATGGGTGGCTGGGGTTGGTGAGCCCGCTTGCTTGCACTGTCGGGCCCCGCTCGGGCCCCGATTGCACCATCGGGCCCCGATCGGGCCCCGATTGCGCCGTCGGGCCCCGATCGGGCCCCGATTGTGCCGTCGCGCCCCGATCACTCTTAGCTTTGCTTCACAAAGTTACAAGGCGGCATCCTCAGCAAAACCGGCGGTGAGGTGGGTCCCGGGGCGGGTGTGGTGCTGTTGGGGATATTGCCTGAGCTTATTTGTTCCCTTGTGTGGTGGTAATTCACCCTTTGTGACTGGACATCTCACAAAGTGTTGATTGCGCGGGCTTGCGCTCCTCTGCTTTCCTGCCTTTCTTCCCCGAGCTGGCTTCCGGGCGGTAGCCGGCAGTTGGTGGCGTCGTGTTCTGGAAGGCGTGGAGTTTTGTTTGTTTTTGCAAGCGATTCTGCGGAGACTCGCATGCCTCCCTCCAGTTGTGGAAGCGGACAATGACGGGCTTCCAACTGTCAGCTATGATGTTGTAAACATATGAACCTTCTTTTTGCTGAGAGCGTGTTCGTGGGGACCTCTCAAAAATGTACCTCAAGAGATCCCTCAGAACCCAACAGGCTTGGTACATTTTGGTGAACATGGATGGACAATGCCTTTTATGCTTCCTATGGAACCCAGTGGGACATGAAGGTGTTTATTGTTTTGAGACACACCTAGCACTTTTGCCCCAACATATCTGGAAAGCCAGTCTCCCGGCATGATTCCTATGTCTCCTTGCACACCCCAATAAAAGGAGACTCACTTTAAAATGGCCACCAAAAGGTGGATGTTTAAAGCACCCCAAAGGCCAACTCACAAAGCCGAAAGTGGGGGGGATCAACCCGAACCCGATAAACCCTCGTGCCTCGTTCGAGTCCGGGCCACGTCCGGGAGAATTTGGCCCTGGACTTTGAGCTGTCGCCCCGAGATGCGCAGCTGATCAGCGGGCGGCATGGCCGCATTTTGGGGAGAGGTCGGGCGCCACAAGAGGGTCGCCCTGTTTATCTCTGGGTTCAAACATCACGCCCAACAGCAGGGCTGCGACTCGTTTTCCCGTTTTTGTTCTTTTTGGGGGGGCCGGGGGGGGAGTTGAAAAAAGCATCTGTTGGAAAGCCTGGTCTTGGCCGGAAAATATCATTCCATGCGGGTGCCGGATGGAGTGGAACAGGTCGGAGGCGTTCCAAAACAAATCTTTGGCTTCATTTTGGTTTTTCTTAATCCCAAAAGGGTACCCTCGCTGCAGTGCGCAGGCTCGCCACCCTTGCGGAGCCTCTGCCGCCTGGGGATGGCTTTGTGCCTTGGAAATGATGGCACGGTCGTCGTTTAGGTTGTAGTGAACAGCCTGAAGCATTTTGACACCCCCAAAAATGCAAAACCGGGCAGCTGGTTCGGTTTGGAAAGGTCAGTGATATCCCTTTCCTTTGGTTCTTGTTCAAGACGTGTGTTTGTCATTTTGCGTGTTGTTGCGTCTTGAGCTCAGAAAAGTAAAGCCCGCAAGCAAGCAAGCCAGACCGCAAGCAAGCCGGCACGGATAGCCAGCTAGCCAGCACCCAAAACAATCCCACCCAGAAGCACCTTCTCTAAGCCCACAAGGCACTATCCCGAACCCCACCTTTAAGCAACCCCAACCCCACCCGAACTCCGCCCTAAACCCATCCTTTGTGGGAAACGGACAACAGAAAGACGACAGAATGGCGAAAGTGGAATTTGTCACGCCAACGCCCGTTTGGCGCTGGCCTGAGATTCGAACGAGCATGGACGACCCCCTGGACAAAAGGCAATTTGGAAAGGTTCCCATTTTCGGGTGATTCTGAAGCGATACGCTTAGCCAAAGTTGACCAGGCGAGTGCACACAATTTAGTTTGCCGATGCTTCACGGAGTGCCATTCACAGAGCGCGCGGGCCTTGTCCTTTTCACCCGGGTCGGCCTTCAGGTCCCCTACGGCAAAGTTCCTCATGCCATGATACAACGGTACAATCTTCTTCAATCGACAAGTCCACATGGAAGCTGCCAATCTTCGGCAAAGCTCAAAGGATGAATCAAGTCCCTGACACATTTCAGCCTTGTTTCATTTGGGTATGTGTCGCAACTCATTTAACTCATTGGGCTCATTTCTCTCTTTGTTGGGTCTGGATTGGAGTCCTGGACAACTTGATCTCCAGCCGGGTTCTCTACACCATGTCCTTTAGGATTGGGCGTCCGAGGTACATCCTTACGAGCCTCTGCCAAAGATGAAGCGAGAGCTGTGAGGCAAAAACAAGCCAAGCGGCCAGCCAGCACTACAACCACTCAACTCATGTACCTGCCCACCCGCTTGACTCATCACAAGCACAACGATCACGATAAGCACCTCACCAAGCACCGCCGCCACATGTGACCCACCCTCCACAACCCCCACTACGAGCTCATGGTCATCATCAACATCACCAGCACCTTTCATGGAGCATGTTGCATTGCCTAGTTGCGATGCCACGGCACCGGCCCGTGGCAGAAGCTTCACCACAGCGCAAGGGCCAGTTCTTGTTGGCAACGAAAAGTAGCAATCTTGCAGGAGTTCACAAGCCACACCGCTCGTCAGTTGCAGTTGCTCGGCCCGAAGCTTAGCACCATATCCGAAGCTTGGCACGCCACACGCCGACCTTTTCGCTTGGCTCCAGCGTGCAGACATACAGCAGTCCAGATGCGAAGCGCTCAACTGGGTTGGTGTGTTTTTCTGAGGGTTTCATTCTCAGATTAGATTCAAAGGAATCAAAAGGAACACCGCCACTTTTGTTCCCCCCAACATTCTATGGGCATTCATGGTCCCTACGCAAAACCAAGACTTCAGACAGCAACAGCTGCCTTTGGCTTTGAGTTGAATCCATGGGCAGCGCCTGATGCCGGCAGAGAAACAGGCCGAGTGGAAGAAAGGGAGCACAACCTGCGATCTTGCACGTGCTGTTAAGCCATGTTTTCCAGTTGGGTGGTTTGTCGAGGCTTGTTTCGCAAGAGCATGAGCCAGACCATCCCAAACGGGACAACATGCTGTCCATCCGCTTTGATGTCTCATGTTGGGGTTTTTGGTTGTCACCTGTTGCCCTTTCTTTGGCTTTGAACCAGCATGAGGAGGCCAAGCCCCCTTTGGCAAGCCGACTGGCATCTTTGGCCCTTTGCCATTCGCTGGGCCAGATCCTAAACAAGTGGTCAGAGCATGCCGCAAGGGAGGCAAAGTGAAGGTTCGGCCTTCCAAAGCCTGAATATTGGGGGTTGTTTAAGAATGGGTGAAAAGAAAAGCAGGAACCGCTCTTTCATAAGCTGCTTGAAGTCAGGCAGCTGGATCTGGCCAAAGAACTTGTGTTTATTCCATGAGTACTTCCTAGCAGATTTGACATTTGGGCGGTCGACGCATATTTTCGGAGGTCTCCCATGAAAAAAAACAAATGGGGGGTTTCCTAGCCTTGCCGCCCGCCGCACAGCTTGGCTTTGGGGGGGACGGGGGCCGGGACCGGCCGGGTGTACAGCCGCAGATATGCCGCGACCGGAAGGGCCTCCGAGGAAAGGAACTTCCGGGCTCTCGCGAGAAGATACAGACACAGTAAGCGAGCAGAGTCAGAGGCCAGAGGAATCCTTGGCAAACAAATCCATCGCGCTTTTGGAAAGGACACCTTGTGGGGGGTTTCAATGTTGAGTGGTGGTTGAACTCGGGTGGCCTTGGGCTTTTTCGGGGCTGCTTAAGGGGAAGCCAAAGCAAACCGAAGCCCCACTTTCTGTTGGATTCCCCATCCTATTCTGAGTTGACCCTGTCAGAGCTGAGCAAATGTCTGAGTTTGGGGCAGATCGCTGAATTCTGAGCTGCTACACCAAACCTCCATCTAATTTGAATTGAGGGGACCTCCTCAAACAGTTGTCGTGGTTCAAACCTTAAACATAGTGCCCCCAAAAAAGCAGGAGGACCCCCTAAATCCCATGTCAAAATGCACCCATGCCGGAGAGACAGTCGCTTTCTTGATAGGTTTTGCACATCTGCTTTTGCATCCCCAGCTGCCGATGTGATTCTCTCATCATCTCCTGTATATTCGCTAAATCGTGTCCCCAGCAAAATTGGCCTTGGCGTTGTAAAACGGGCTGTAAAAATGCTCTTGGATTGATGACCAAGCTTCAGATGCTCGTTTTGGGTATGTTAAAGGGGCAACCTAAAGGACCCCCCGAAGCAGATTTCGGATGCCGTGGAAGAATGCCTTCGACACAGGCCACGATGGCCAATGACAAGGCTCGACCAGGCATCTGAGGGTCGGGGGGGTGAGTGAAAGGGAGAATCTGCGTTTGTGTCAAAAGAGCGGGAGGCTGGCGGTTTCCTTTTGGCTTCCCTTCAAACACCCAAGAAGGGTGGCCTGCAACAAGTCACACTGCATATACCAGGGACCCGTGCAATGCAAGTCGCGCCAGTAACTGGCTGCCATAAACGTTTCTTGTTTTTGTTCTGGGAAGGCCTGGTGTGTTTGAGCCCGTTGACGGAATTCGATGGTGTACAAAGGGGCATCGTTCCGCCGGGAGCATGGAAGCCTGAGGCCAACCCACACTGGGAAAGCATTTGGAAAGGCTTTTCGGCTCCCCCATTTTTCCCGGCCGGATGGGTTCCACCTTGGCCGTCCGCAATTTCTATTTACTCGAAGGTTTCTCTTGGTTTCTGAGCCTACTGGGGACCTGCTGATCGCCGCCCATGCATTTCAGACCACAAGGCTTCAATCGTGACTCATTTCCGAAGTCTGAACCCAACTGGAACCTATCTGGGGCCAGCCAAAATCCATCTCAGAAACCATCGCCGCCGCTTTTCGCGCGGGACGTCTCAGGCGATTGGACCTGCCCCGGCTGCGGGGATCTGCAGTTCGCGCGGAACCAGGCTTGCCGCAGGCCCGGCACCCTGGCGCCCCTTGGGAGTGGACTGAAGTCGTAAACCAACCCTCAAAAGTGCGACGCTTGAAACTCGGTACGACGGTCTTCTTTGCCTTCCAAGCATATGCCTCCCACCCAAAAAAGAGTTGCAGCCGTATGTCCACCTCATGATCTCTGGTGTGAACCTCCGGTCATGGTTCATGCATACCAGCTTTGCAACTTTAGAGCCTCCGGCTCAGTCCGCCGACATTGTCCTCTCCCTTTTCTCCTTCTTCCTCTCTTCCTTGTCTCCCTTGTGTGTTCTGTCGTCCTCTCTCCCTCCCTCTGCTCCCATCCTCCCCATCCCCCCAAGCCTCTCTCTCCCCAATCTCCCTCTCTCGTATGTATGCATGCATGTACATATGTATGTATGTATGTATGTATGTATGTATGTATGTATGTATGTATGTATGTATGTATGTATGTATGTATGTATGTATGTATGTATGTATGTATGTATGTATGTATGTATGTATGTATGTATGTATGTATGTATGTATGTATGTATGTATGTATGTATGTATGTAATGTATGTATGTATGTATGTATGTATGTATGTATGTATGTATGTATGTATGTATGTATGTATGTATGTATGTATGTATGTATGTATGTATGTATGTATGTATGTAATGTATGTATGTATGTATGTATGTATGTATGTATGTATGTATGTATGTATGTATGTATGTATGTATGTATGTATGTATGTATGTATGTATGTATGTATGTATGTATGTATGTATGTAATGTAATGTAATGTAATGTAATGTAATGTAATGTAATGTAATGTAATGTAATGTAATGTAATGTAATGTAATGTAATGTAATGTAATGTAATGTAATGTAATGTAATGTAATGTAATGTAATGTAATGTAATGTAATGTAATGTAATGTAATGTAATGTAATGTAATGTAATGTAATGTAATGTAATGTAATGTAATGCAAATGAAGCAGTTAGTGGCATTATTGAAGTCCTCCCAGTCCTCCTCGGTTTCAATACGGTCTTTGACCTCCTTCATTTTCTCAAAAACATCCCATTTCACTTTATGCATTCTTTTTACAAACACATCCATACAATCTTCACCTCTGTATAAGTAAGGCTCACTACTTCCGGTTATAGCATTGACTACATTAATCATAAGACCACACGGACGATGATTTTGATATGATGTAGTTTTAGCTTTTGTCGATTTGCTTTTAACATCAATTGGCACAGTTAAACATTCAAAGTCGGCATAGATTACGAATGGAGCTTTAAGTTTCTTGAAATGGTTTTTGAATGCTATTGTTTCACCTGCTTCTGGCATTTCTATTTTTTGACCCTCAACTGCTAGACATCCCTGTTCTTCGTGTTTCTTTAAAAGTTCTTCTGATTGAAAACCATGAGAGCAGGTTCTACAATGATACTTTTTAACTTTCTTTTTGTTAGTCTGACTACTCATTAACTTATCGTAATTTTTGATATAAGCGTAATGCGATTTAACTTCATCAGTCAATTTAATTAAATCGATTTTGTGTTGTGCTTGTGGGTTGTTGCTTCTTTTGTATAATAAAATAGTTTTACTATTCGTATCGGGGTTTATGTAATAAACATTGACCGACATGTGTTTGTTCTGTTCTTCAAATAGTTCAATCTCATCATTACCTACTGGAAAGTCTATTCCGTCCCATTTGATAAATTTGTCATCTACGTATTTCTTATAATGATACATGTCGCAGGGATGGTCGTTTTTGAATAACTCATAAAATCACATTGAACGGAATATTTAAAACACGTCCTCATTTTTAATATTAATACAAGCCTTTTTGTTTGCCACCCAGTCGGGTAATGGAATGAATGATGAACCACGGGTAGGATTGTACCTATCATAACTGATGACTAACTTTTCAACTTGACCAAGAACCAATCCCGACTGAATGTATTCGGTTATTTCAATTTGTGTCTCAATGTCGTGCCCAATGTTGTTTAAGACGGTGTTCAACTCGTCGGGATTATGAATATTGTATCTTCTGCTTCTTAACCGCCTTTGAATAAGTTCGTTGTCGGGATTTTTGAATGATAAATCGGTTTCCACGATTATTTTCATGTTCGGGTTTCTGTTCAGGAATTCGGCCAGTCGTTGCTTCTGGTATTTTAAGTAGGATAAACCTTTCATCCCCTTTAATCTTATATCACTTACCGAGTAGGTGTTGGCGTACCCCTTGAACGCTTGTTGCTCGTCTGTGATTTTGGACTTGAAACGCTTGACATAATCCTGTAAGGGTCTGCCTCTTGTTAGTTTTAGATAATTAGCACCTTTCATTAAAAGGCCATGCTTTCTATATCCGTCACTCCTCGCCACTTCCTTGAGTTTCGTGTTCAATACGTTTGAAACTGGTTTGTTCTTATCATATCTGTAGGTCTTATCGCCTATTTTGAGTTTTTGTGTTTGCCTCCCTTCTTTTTGTATTAGTTCGCCTTGTTGGCTGTTTAAAATGAAATCTATGATTTTTTGTTTCTGACATGGTAACCATAATACTATACTCTGTATAATATAAGGTATTTTCTCTTTAAGTAGTTTTTCGGGCTGGGGTTGGCTGTTGGAGAAAATGGGTTTCAGGTTGAGAATGAACGCATTAATCTCATTAAGTGTTTTTAATAAGATGAATGATTATTATTTTTTCATAATGTGCATTGTCGCGAAGCTTGCGAACAAATTTTAGATTTCTTGTGTTTAGATGAATTTGATTTGCTTGATATCGTCCTTCCACAGTCCTCGCAAGTGTAAGACTGTTTTAGGTTATTGTTGTAGTAATTCTGGTGGTAGTTCTTCTGGTCGTCCCTCCACCTCACGGGTTGCTCACTGTCATCGCTCGAAGTCTGGTTCTGTTCGCTTATCATCTGTAAGACTAAGTCGTTTTCTGCTTTCATCAGTTCAACCATCATATCAAATTCGTCATTCGTTATTCTCTGTTTACTATTACCGTTAATGAAAATTCCTGTCATTTTACTACATTAGGGCGTTTTGTCTTTAAGTAGTTTTATTTTTTCTTCTTACCTCGGCTACTTTTTGTATTTGTGCTTTCTGGGCTTCTACTCCTGCTTCTTGTTTCCATTTGTTCCCTCGTCCATTCACTACCTCTAGCTATTTCTTGGGGTGAGTTGCTCCTGCTTCTTGTTTCTAATTGTCTTCTGTTCATTTGATTACCTCTTGCTCTTTCTTCTGGTGAGTGACTTCTGCTTCTTGCTTCTACCTGACGTCTTGACCAGAATGATGCCCTCGGTTGTTCTTCCTCCTGTTCCCTTGATTGTTCTGATGGTGTGGATGTCTTCTTGTCACGTTTGAATAGTTCAAACACGCTCTTGTCTTCTCCACCTAAAAATATGTTTCTTAACGGATTTAATTCTCGGCTTTCCTCTTTCTTATCTTTTTCGGTTGATGCTGATGACGATGATGATGTTAAATGAAGACTTTGTATATCTTCCTGCTCTTCATCTTTGGGTTCATCTTTTGGTTCATCTTTTGGTCCTGAAATTGCATTACTATAAATTTCATCAGCAAAATCTTTTGCTATATATCGTGTTGTTTGTGCGTCTGCCTCGTTGTTTTCATATAACTGTGATGTTGGTGCTACTTCATCAAACATATCAGGGAACAATTCGTGTTGAAGAACTTGTTTATCAGTTTGAACCCTAGCATTCAACCGTAGTCTCCTATCGTATTTTGAAAGGTCAAAATCGTCAAAATCTATATTGTTGATTGACAAGTCAATTACCTGTCTTTCGGGGATGATTTCAATTTTTAATCTGTGCGTCATCGCTTCCTTTAGCATTTCTTCAAAAGTAGGGCGTCAGCGTAATCCATAATATTTAACAGTCATATTAACTATTATATATTTTATTAAACTTCCGCAGGTATTTCTTTAACTGAACCATCCATCACGGTTGGACTATCTTCTTTTTCCTTAGGTCGTGGGTGGAAAACTGAGTAATACACTTTATCATTGTAAAACCTTACTAATTTCAATCTGTGTTCCTTCTTGATAAAATCACCATCGCTATTAATTAAAGCATTATATAACTCAGTGAATTCTTCATGAACACTGTCTTTAATCTTTCTAAATCCTTTCAGTTTGTCCATGACTTCTTTCATATCTTCTGGTCTGCTTGCAAGATAAGCGGGTGTTAGTTCAGACGCTCTTTTCTTAAACTCGTTGTAACCATAAGCGTCTTCTGCTTTTGATTCTACTTCAACAACTGGGTCGTCTTCTCGTTCATCTTCTTCTTCGCCTTCCTCTAATGGTTCTAATTCTGGCATTTCATCAGCGGACACCATTGAATGAACTTCTACACCGGCAGGATATGAACTCTTTGATACAGCACTTGCCATTTCTTCGTGTTGTTGTCTCCAAAGTCTCATTCTTTCAGCAAGTTCTTCTTTCTGTTTCTGTGCTTCCGTTAGTCCTTCTTGAATGAAAGACTGGTGTTGTTTCAGTGTGTGAGCAAGTTTCAATTCATCATTAAGTTTAGCTCTTACACTACCATCGTCCGACATTGCTCCTTTCATAACTTCTCCTCTTCGGTCTAGTTCTTGTTTCTTTTGAATGTCCAAGGCTCCTTTCTTATCAAACTGACTACCGTATTGGTTTAATCTGTATCTTGTCGCTTTTCTGTCTATCACATTTTCAATTGATGGACGGTTCTCATCTCCTACTAATGTTTCTTTCAATAATTCATCATAAGAAGGTCTCAAATGTAATTGTGATTTCAATGACCCTACTTTTACTGGTCCTACTGTATTCAATCTACTAATTGATTTAATCATAGTATATTAAGTATTTAGAAAAATAAATTAATCAGAGATATTCTTAATCATTTCTTCTAAATGCTTCTTTCTTACAGTTAATTGTTCCTTTGTTTGTATTCCGTCTGGTGACCGTGTGTTGTCTAATATTTTTCTTATTCTGTCTAATTCCTTTCTGTAACTTTCGGTT